GACAAAACACACCTAAAAAATAAAATCCTAAACACCCCAACCCATTACAGCCAACAAAAGCCAACATCTTTCTCAAGGTCATGATCTGCAAAACAGTTATTAGTGCCACAATCTCCAAAACAACTATTAGTCCCACAAGAGTATATGAAAAAACAATAGACATATGACACGATTATCTTGAAACATGAGATGGAAGGCATGAATAGATGAAAACTAAGACTCATGAAAAACAACTCTCAAACAACAAAAGCAAGATCATAAACAACACAAGCAATGATATGACGATGTAAATACCAGGAACATACAAGAAGGGCAATCAGTGCATAGCAACATGCAAAACATATAGCCAATCTCCCTTACCAAACATATCAAAGTGTTCATGCTAAACAACTCTTGCAATGAAAAACCAAACTTCCTTACCAACCCAAATCAAGATGAACCAAACTCCCCTCACTAAAAGCAACTACAAACACTGAAAATAGTGAACAAGAAGAAAAAGACAAAAAATAATATGGTGGAGCAAGCAAGAAATTTTAGATTTGTACCTTGAAACACACAAGATTATCCAAGAAGCACAATTATTAGAAGATTCCTCATGCAAGAAAGTGATGCATTATGTGAAAAGCATAGATCCTATGATAAAAGTGTGTGTGTGACTCTTGGAGTTCGACAAACACTAGATTCAATCCTAGTAGTTATCTGAAAGTTGGACCTCCGACAAGAGAATCTAAGCACAACAAAGAAAAGTCAAACCACTAGGAATCAAGGGGTATTTGGTGAGTAAAGGCGGAGGCTCCCCCTCAATCAATGAATCTTTTCTTCTTCTTTTTTTTCTTTCTTTCTTTTGCACATTTTTTCTTTCTTTTGCATATTTTTTCTTCTTCTCTTTCTTTTTCTTTTTTTTTTGCACATCCTTTTTTTTCTCTTTCTTACCATCAAAGCCAATGCCACTCTTGTCAGAACAGATTTGTTGAGACCCAATGATATTGTCCAAAGTCTTTGATCCTTTGTTCCAAAGACCAATGGTAACCATGGCACACTTGAGTTCTTCCTCTTTCTTGATCATTAGTTCTTCCAAAGCAACTTGAGACATCTCGAGAGTTTCAATTTTTTCTTCATATGTTGCATAGATTTGCTGTAGCTCATTCCTCTCTGTCTCACAAGTCAAGAGTTTTGCACAAAGAGCTTGTCGATCATTAGAAATCTTGATGACTTCAATCCTAGCCTCGAAAATCTCCTCCTTTAGTTTGACATTCTCACTTTCACATGCTGTGAGTTTTATAGTGAGTTTGTCATTCAATTTGGATAGCTTAAGAGATTCCTTATACAACTTTTCATAAGCTTGCTCAAGCTTTTCATCATCACTTCCCGAGGATTCATGATCAGTGGCATTCTCAACTGGGCTCTTCGGATACTTTGTTCGTCCTTCAGTTTCAAAAGCCACCATGAAAGCAAGGAATTGTTTATGTCCCTCTTCGCCTTGATCTTCATTGTCACTTTCATCTTCATCAGATTCTGATTCATCATTCCAACTGATGGCGATGGCTTTCTTCTTCTTCAAACGAGTGAGGCATTCTGAAGCAAAGTGGCCAAATCCTTGGCATTCATAGCATTGGAGTCTTTCAGAGTTCCCTTGTATCTTTCCTTTTTCCTTCTTGGCTATAGAATTAATTTTAAGTTTATCTTTGCCTTTGGATTTATGAGTATGAGTAGATTCTAAAAGATTAGGATTCTTTTTCAAAAAAGATTTTTTAAATTGTTTAACAAAAGCAGCTGTAATCTTGGAATCTATCTCACAATCCTCATCAGAATCCTCTCCAACTCTATGAGCACTACTAAAAGCAATATCTTTTTGTTTCTTTTTGAAATTCCTATGTGCCTCATAAGTTTGGAGATTTCCAACCAACTGATCCAGGTTGAGGTTGTCAACATTTTGAGCCTCCTCAATAGCTGTAACTTTTGGTTGGAACCGATCGGGCAAGGATCTCAAAATTTTTCCCACAACTTTGGATTCTGGTATTTTTTCACCTAAATTGAAGCTGGAATTTACAATGTCACTCAACTTTGCATAAAATTCATCAAATGTCTCACTATCTTTCATTGAAAGGTTTTCGAAACTAGATGTGAGCCTTTGAAGTTTTGAGCGTTTCACCGAAGGAGTGCCCTCATGAATAGTTTGTAAGATATCCCAAGCCTCTTTTGCGACTTCACAATTGCAAATACGACTAAACTCTTCAGGTGTGACAGCGCAAAAGAGAAAATTAATAGCTTTACTATTCCAGCTACTATTTTGGTAATCAATTGTGTCCCACTTTTCAATTGGTTTGGGGAAAGTTACTCCATCAACGGTAATTGTTGGTTCGGTCCACCCATTCATGACAGATTGCAAACTTTTTCATCTATAGATTTCAAAAACGATCTCATCCGAGCTTTCCAAAAAGAATAATTGGATCCGTCAAGTAGGGGTGGTCGAACCATAGAATTTCCCTCACGAATTGAATCCATTATCACAAATCAAACATGATCTCGCTCAAAAGTTTTAAAAAACAAACGAGCAACCCGCTCTGATACCAATTGAAAAATCTAGAAATCCCCTAGATGTTGATTTGTGATGATGTATCAATTTTAAGCAGTATATAACAATTCCAATCAAACAATCAAGACAAATCGACACAACGATTTTACGTGAAAAAACCACAATTGGACACCTCCAATTGTAATAAAAAAATCACGGGCAACAGCCACAAAACAATCCACTAAGAAGATAAAAGGAATTATACAGGTATACTCTCAATTACCTAGAGAATCCACGCCTGAATTGAACCAACCTCTATGTGCCTCTTCCAACCCCATCTTCACCTCGGAATTGTCTTGACGATAAGCCACTCCGGAATCCACCAAAGCTTCAAGCTCGAATTCTTCAGAATCCACTGAAGAACAACTCTCTCTTTTGTGTAGAATTAAACAAACAATCATTTGATGTAAACTTCTAAAACCATGAGTTGAATACTCAATCAAAACATCAAAGAAAACTAGCAAAATATTCCCAGATATAAACCTTAGAATCCAAAAAGAAGATCTGGAGGACTTGTCCAAGTTTTGGGAGAAAACTAACTACTTATAGAAATCCAAAGTAATCCTAGTTTTAGAAGAAAACCAATTCCTTATAGAAATCCAAGAATCTGTGTTCGCGCGGTCCGCTCGAGCGTGGGACGTCTTACTTGAGCGGAGGCTTCAAAATTGTGTGATTCATATAGGCTTCACGCTCGAGCGGAAGTTTCCACGCTCGAGCGGATAATCACACCATCCAGTACCTTTTCAGGCGAAGCAGAGATGCTGTGAGCTTGCAATCCCCGCTCGAGCGGGACGACCAAAATTAGAAAATCTGAAAAACTAGATTCTGTTACAACCTCGGTTTTGATCCATGGAAATTGACAAAGGCACGATTCGGGTTGGATTCGCATCTAATAAACTCATAGCCTCACTGAAATAAAAGGTGCGAAAGCAAATACAACTGAAAGGAGTTTTGTCAAACGGGGTTGTAAGAATAAAACCTAACAACTTGCAATAAAAAGTTTTCATATTTATTTAGCCCCAAAAAAATTTATTGTACGCATTGATAATAAGGCAGTAAGAGATTTCTTGATCAATAAAAAACCTATTGAGTAAGAAAGAAGATTAGCTTGGTATAATAAAATTTCTGAATATACTTTTGAGATAGAACATCTTAAAGGTATTAACAATTTTCTTGCAGATTTTCTTAGAAGAAATTGTTTCAAAAAATTAAATTACTAGACAAGTAATTTTGATTTTTGCAGAAGACCTCTAGACCAAGAGGAAACAATAGACAAGTGTAAACAATCCGCTCAAGGAGATTGGGTGACAATTGCTAAAAAAGCAATCTCCAGATAAGAAAAAGTTTATGTTATATTCGCAGGAAAATAACCTGGAATTTACATAGACTGGAATGAATGCAATAAGCAAGTTTGTGGATTTCCAAGAGCCATTCACAAATCATATGATAGCATGACCAAAGTTAAAAAAGCTTTTTACAGTGCACTAGCTATGCCTGTTTATCAAAAGAATTTTTGTCAAATGAGAACTCACCCAGTTCCAACTAATATTCAGACATCTAAACCAGATGAATCTGAAATAAAAGACTTTTTCAACCCTGGTATATCTAGAGAAATTTATACGGAACTCAATGGAGTTTGGAAAACTCACATTGTAGATAACAAAGTGAAATTTCAAAAATACATACGAGTGGCCAACAAATTAGCTGAGCAAATAGCTAAATCAAAAGATTTATAAAATCTTTGTTTCAATATCCTTTAACAAATGAATTGGAATGAAGATTTTAATTTTGAAAAAATAAACAATTTTCTTCAGCTATCAGACCTCATATTAGATGAGTTTTTTGATCCAATTTTTGAACAAATAAAAAGAATTTATTATTTTGAAAAAGCAAGAACTTTGCCCCCAAAAGAAAATTTTCTATTAATAAAAAATCAAGTTGAGGATCATCGTGATAAGATTAGACAAATCTTAGAACAATCGTATGATAAATTAAATTTTAAAGATGGAATTCCCAAAATAACCATCAAGGTAAATCATGACATGTGGTATTTTGAAGATATAGATTGGGAAATAACTAATCAAGTTATTTTCTAAATTTTTTATCCGATCCAATGGATACAATATCCAATGATCATCAATGCTCTCATGGGTAGTAAAAGGCTTCCGATAGAGTAAATATTTTACTTTCTGGATCTTCAGCACTATTGGTTGACGAGAACGAGAACATTTTTTTCTAACCATACCAGATTTGATATCTTAAAGAAGCTGAAGATTTTAAATTTGAAGATGATTATTTAGATGAAGATCGCCGGAGAAAGCAATTGGAAACTATTCAAAAACTTTTTTTAACAGAATATTGGATAGACAGTCTAATATCTGTTTCACAAGTAGCGTCTAATATTCATGGCTCAGCCAAATTGCCATTTATGATCACAGATGGTAGAATACTATTTGTAACTCATTTTTCCATAATATATCAAAGGTCTCCTACACAAATTAATGAGACTCTTGACATGTTATTAAATCTCAAAAAGAGAAATAATTTGGATCGTCCATTAGAACTAGCCATGACCGCGGATGATTTAGAATATTTTCGGAATGAGCAGTACAACCAAGATCCCGATTCCCCTCCATCAGAAACTGATGAAGAGTATCATAATCTCATCAACAGAATGAAAGCATAATGGACCCCACTACCCCATGTGATTGTCTCCTGTTCGACTCCAACCTTATTCAGGACACGTGGAGCAACCTGCATTAATTAGGCGGAAAGTGGTCAGACAAATCCTTTCAACCGACGCTACACGACAGAAAAGATCAACCAAATCTTATCTGTTTCAGTCTATCCTTTTGAATATCGGAGAGGGTAGACAGTGTATATAGTTGTAGAAACTATAGAGATTGTCAGAATATGACAAATAATTGTAGTTTTGCATTTAAACTTTTTTGTCTTTATATTTCTTTGTATTTATTTTTATGAAGACATTTTGTAAAAGTATATACATAGACTTGTAGGCTTTGTAAAGTTTTGGTTGTATTGGTGTGGTGTTTGTCAACAAAGTAGATATGTAATAATGTTAGGATGACTTTTGGGTTTTGTTTGTATATACAACATGTAATCTATAAATTGGCTTTCTAGCCAACATAATAAACAATGTAAATTCTCTCCATCTTTGATTGCTTATTTCGTCTCTAACGTCTTTTAACACCATAACTCCGTCATAATTTCATAATAAAAATAATAGAAAACTCATTTCCTTTTTTGTTTTGTGGACAAAAAATACACGAAAGTAGATCATTTTAATTGTGAGAAGGAAAAAAAAAGAGAGGAGAAAGCAGTGAGTAGTTACTGACGATAAGGATGAGTTATTTTTTAAATTGGCTTAAACTTTTAATTTCGAGTGAAGGATCAGCATTTTTACAATTTCACCACTGTAAGTAAACTTCAATTTGAATACATCTAAACTTGTTATTATATGAGGGGACTTGGAGTAAAACTTTTGTGATTACATAAGTAATATTGTACTAATGTATTTTTTTCTCTAATGGTGATTGGCTATATAGGGTAGACTAGACCTTAAAAAAAATTAAAAATAAAAACACCGGGGAAGCAGGATTCAGTCCAAAGTCTCTAATACCATGTCAAAAGATTTTACAAACTTAGACAACTTCAATTTTGTATAGCTATCATAATTCATTCACGTCAAGGGTACTTGTATTTGTGATTATTTATATAATATAAACAGTTTAAATTTTCAAATGTTGATTGCATGAGTTATTGATAATTTTAAATTAATTGCCTGATATTAATTGGGTGTTGCTTAGGAGGACATACCTGCACTAGGGGAGGAACCAGTCGTTGAATTGGGAAAAGAGACACAGAAAGAGTTAAAGGTCGATCCCAGGACTGCTGAATTCGACAAAGAGACAAAGGTCGTAACGGAAGAAGTAGAAAAACTCAAGAATCAACCCTCCGAGTACATCTTACCTCTAGACCTCTTGCTCAACCCACAAGTTCTGAAGTGTTCAACATTGAGAAGTTATTTGGTGGTCTAGGACAGCCCCACGTGGTGCCCCGTGTGTGTTATGATTGGTGGATGAGTGGAATACATAATTTTATGTTAGGTGATTCAGAAATAATAGAGATTATAGTATTTTGTGATTAGCCAGATATGGCCACGTTTTGCATCTAGACCAACAAATAATTTTTCTTTATCAATAGAGAACTGTCAATCTATGTAACAGTGTTTACTTATCCAAATCAATGTTCAGATTGAATTTAAAATATTATTTTAGAACAAATTATATTGGTAGTTACAATGATTTGGCCCTTATATCTTTTTAGTTTTTGTAGTTTAATTTGCTCGATTTTGATCCTAATTGTTTTGTTTTGTTTTGTTTTTTTTTTTTTTTTTTTTTTTTTTAAAATAGTTAGTCTTAATTTTTATTTTTTATTTTTTTTTGGTTAGTCTTCTATTAAGTAAAATAGTTAGTCTTAATTTTTATTTTTTATTTTTTTTTGGTTAGTCTTCTATTAAGTAAAATAGTTAGTCTTAATTTTTATTTTTTATTTTTTTTTGGTTAGTCTTCTATTAAGTAAAAGAGTTAGTCTTAATTTTTATTTTTTATTTTTTTTTGGTTAGTTTTCTACCATTAGATTAGCATCTTTTATGTCTACCCTTAGATCTACCTACAGGTTTCTGAACTCGGGCAATTCGGGCAATTCGGGCAACCCGAGTTCAAAATACAAAGCTTGGGCCGGGCTTGGGCAACAATGTTCGGGTTCATGGTCGGGCTTGGGCGGGCTTGGGCAGTGCCAAATACAATTCGGGTCGGGCTTGGGCAGACCCCCAACCCGACCGAACCCGCCCGAGTTGCACCCCTAATTGAATCCCTTTCTAATTAAAGAAGGGACATTTCAAGAAAAAAATTATTAAATATTTTCAAAATATTATACAATATTATTTATTTTTATTTTTGATGACCAAAAAAATCATCACATAGCAATCTAATAATTTATTTATTTCACTAAAAAATAATAAAACAATATATTATAGGATAAATTACAATTATTTCCCCTAAGAATTAATAAAACTGTATAAACATTGCCTGAGATTTTTAAAATGACTCAAACCTTCCTCATTAATTTGAAAATAATTTTTCAATCTTCTATTGGAGTGTAGTTTTCCATGTGAGCCATTGAATTGCAAATTGCCACGTCGCAAAGCCACTGTTGCACTCAATTCTAATAAATTCTAAGCCATTAATTAAAATCACAGGAAAAGATAGATTTCTCCCCCATTGTACAGTAGGTCCATTCGAAAGTAATTTTCTGCATACGATGATGATGATTTCCTTATATATTAATTTTACTGTGACATTGCATGTACCTCGTGGCCATTTTTACACTTGAAGTTGCCCTGACTTTCGTCCTCATTGCTACCTAGAAAACTAATGTAGTTGAAATTGTGGGAATTTCATTGTTAACATCATGCTTCAAATTTGATGGGTTGAGACAAAATGTTTGTGGAAATAATATGCCAATTCCACATTTACATTGGTTGAGACAATATCTGGGTGTAATGTTCCAATTCAAATTCAAATCTTACTGACTAAACTTGAAATGCAGCTTTCCCCTCACGGATTTGGGGATTCTGCTGTGATTTTCACAGCAGGGATCTGTGGTGCTTTGGTGGGAGGTTTTTCTGAGTCTTTTTTGATAATTCGAATTGTTCATATGTTCGTCGAATATATTATTCATACAAAAAATTAAGTTAATCAACAATCCGCAACTTCGTGATCATATTCAAATTGTTTTACAAAAATTATTAAGATAATGTTAACTATTTAGTTTTTAAAAAACAATGTGTTTTTGTTATAAAGCTATAGATTTCTAATCAATTTGATTTTTTGTATGAATGATCTATTCAATGAACCCTATAATATGAACAGTTTAAATTATCGAAAAAACCTCCACCCAAGTACCATAGATCGCTACTATTAGTCACAACAGCATCCCTTGGTTCTCCCTCACCTATTACCTTTCTACCATCGACAATGGGATAAAATCTAGTTTTGGTTTGTTTATCAAAACATGTTTTTAGAGAAATTTTTTTTAAAAAAGTTTGGTTGAAAATTATAAAAAAAAAAAAAATCCATTTAAACTCCATTTAAAAAAAAAAAAAAAAACTCCATTTAAAAATGTTTGGTTGAAGCCATCGGTCTCTGGCCTAACACATAGTGTCCACTTTGGCGTAAACCCGCCGCACGGTTTTGTTCCTCCCCTACTGGGGGAAAAGGCCTATGCTAGGGAGAGGAGCCAGTCTGCTTATAAGGTGGGAAAGTAGTCCCTCATAGACCGATATGGGATTTCCCCACATATTAGCCCCCAGTCGAGCTGGCTCCGACACCGGCGCAAGACATCCGAGTGCTAGAGGGAGTTCCCACAAACAGTGCCAAATGAAGCCACCGGTCCTCGGCCTAACATATATTGTCTGCTTTGGCGTAAACCCGCCGCACGGTTTTGTTCCTCTCCCACTGGGGGAAAAGGCCTATGCTACGGAGAGGAGACAGTCTGCTTATAAGGTGGGAAAGTAGTCCCTCACAGACTAATGTGGGATTTCCCCGCACATTAGCCCCCAGCCGAGCTGGCTCCAACACCGGCGCAAGACATTCGAGTGCTGGAGGGAGTTCCCACAGACGACGCCAAATGAAGCCACTGGTCCTCGGCCTAACACATATTGTCCGCTTTGGCATAAACCCGCCGTACGGTTTTGTTCCTCTCCCACTGGGGGAAAAGACCTATGCTAGGGAGAGGAGCCAGTCTGCTTATAAGGTGGGAAAGTAGTCCCTCACAGACCGAAGTGGGATTTCCCCGCACACCTCTCATTTCATTTCTAAGAGTAGAATCCAAAACCTCCCCTTAGGAGAGACTTAGGCCTATTTTGAAAAGTGGGTTAAAAATCACTTTCCAACTTTTAATCTACTTCCTCTCTCAAAAAAAAAAAAAAAAAAAAAAAAAACTAACTTTTAATCATCTTCCTAAAACACCCCTTACCAAAGACTTAGCCAATTAGACAAGAGCTCCTTGGTTATGTTGTATTATACTTAATTATTTGTGTATGGTAACTACCATTCATTTAATGAAAAATAGTGAGATCTAACTTGGTTATTGTATTCAGATTATTTTGGTGATTATAAGGTTTTGTGAATAGAAAGAACTCTTTACAAAGGAATTTTGAGAGATAGTTGCTTCTTGTATTTTTTTTCCTCTTTTGATATGAAACCTTTTGTCATTCTTCTCGTGTGAACATAGATTAAGTCGAATCAAGTATATTTTTTTTAATTTCTCATATTACTTTATTATCGTACTTGCTGGTTTTTTTGGCTTTCAAAGGTTAGTATTGTAATTTTAAGCGTGCTAGCAAGGATCAATCAGTCTTTACAGAAGATTAATTGCCAACCAATTATCAGACGATTGTGTTTCAGTTCTTTTAGCATCAACAAAGAAGACTTTTACTGGTGACTTTGTTTAGGAGAATTTAGCAAACAACAATTAAATGAAGAACAATTGTAGCATTTCATTAAGTAAAAATGAAAGACTTACAATGATCTAATTCAGCCTCGTAGAGGTTTACAGCAACAAGCTACTTGAAACTACTCCTATGAATGAAGTGCAGTGCAGGAATTTGAAGTACAGAAATGTAAAGAACAAGAAATGTAAAAACTGAAAGGAAAATAAAGTAGATAAAACTAGTTTCTAAATCTGAGTCCGGGGGCTCTTTCTGGGGCCCTCTCTGTTATTTATACATCTCAATGATAACCGTCGAAATGAGTTTTTAACCGTCGAATCATCCCTCCATGATCGCTGATCATATTTCCTCATAGTTAGCTCCACTATGCCATGTCTGCAGTTAGGCTTCCCTCATAATTTTAAATTTAAATATATGAGTAACTGTTAAAGCCAAGTCATTTTGCACCTATAGCCCTCCATATTTAAATGCAGATCCACAATAACCAATACTAACTATCACGTGTGTGATTACGATTGAATATTTGAATTGTCTTCCCATATTGCGCTCATCCTGCTACGTGTTGAACTGTGATTGGCCTATACAAAATATGTAGCCAACATTACCCCCCGCACTAATATACTCAATACTTGGTGATATTAGTGGATCAAGGTATTTTATCCACGTCTTAGAACGTGCATGGACTTTGCATTTTTTCAGAAATGCAACCGTTATTCATCAACGAAACATTTGCGTTAAATTCTCTTCTATCCTTTGAACATTCTCACTATCTCAGTATTCGAAAAGACTGGTATAGCTTTCATGGCCAAGCAAACCTTTTCTTACCTCGATCAAGCATATGAAGAGTTGTTTGATAATGTTGTTCGTCTTCAAAAGAACCTTCATGCATTGATTAGCTACCTTTACCCACCTTCTTATATTCAAGTTATGGAAGCTTTTGCAAACTATCAACCTTTGGATTACGAACCTATTGTCCACAATTCTTTAAACCAAAATTTTGCAAACATGGATATTAGAAGCTCTTCTTCTGACCCAAAACCTTATGCATGGGATGAGGCTACAGCTTCTTCTTCTTCTTCTTCTGAGGCTTCTAGTTGGAGAAGCTGGCTAGAACCTGAGGAGTCCAAGTTAAGAGAGCGAATCAATGATCATTTTATCAAATTTGCTGATCCTCTAACTTTTCCTCCCTTTGCTCGGAGCTCGGTGGTTTATCGATATGTACCCATCGACCGCCGACGCCGTTTGGAAGACAACTTACTTGTAGCATGGTACACATCCTCCATGCCTACGAAGATAGTACAAGCCACTCATCGTCCAAAAGAGGCACAAAAGTATAACCCGTCGTTCTTAGCCCAGAAGGCAAAACTTTGCTCTTTTGACTAGCTTGATTGTGTCAGCAACCCCCAGTTCCCTCATTCTTTCAAAATGGAAGCTTTTGCACCTCCTTTTCTGCAAAACCCTCACTGGATGGAGGAACTAAGACTTACTCTCTTTAAGAACTAGTTTCTACCCTCCTATAGCCCTCCATCTCCCCCTACTATATTTTAACAATATCAAGCCCAACTTCTACTTGCGACCTTTTCTCACTTGCCCTTCAATGTTCTCGAGGATGATATTCCTCTTAAGAACTTTCGATAGGCTTGTGATGTTATG